TAAATATATATATATATATATATATATATATATATATAGTTGTATATAGTTGTATGTAGTAGCATCTAACCCACTTACAAAAACATTGAATCATAGCGTGGATTCTTCAATGGACTGGCTCTGAAAGAGCTGTCTATCCAAAAGTCACCCGGTGTTGCAAACAAGGTTATTGTGACGAAAATACACTTCCTGGGCACAAGTATATGGATGAACTGACAAAATATTACTGGATACGCATGCCTGATGCGCGACAAGAACCGCGAAACCGGTCGCATGCTTCCAGGGAAATTTCGTTCAATCATTCACACACTACTTATTATGATATATATCTATTTATATTTTCAGGCCATTCCGGAAACTTATTTTACGTCACCAGGACGGATGTACGATTGCAATCACTTGTTCCTTCTTGTCTGTTCACCGAGCTTGGCAACTTCCTTGCCAACATTCCATCACAAGCCGAAGTGAAGCAGAATTAAGCACTGAACATGATTCGATGGATATAATAGTTAATATAAGGCAGTAAACTTTCAATAACCAAGTGCAGCTTGCGGATTTGTCAGTGATGCATTACGCAGACACCAAGAACTCGGTGCAAATTCCCGCATCCAATAAAAAAGGGTTGTTGCTCTTTTTAAAATCATTAGTCATTCGTACTGTGGCTTGCCTTTCAAATCGAGTGATTTATCAGACGTTTGCAAGCTTTTTCGTACACGCTCACTTCTGAAGTGAACTGTGATCATCGTGACCGAAGAGTTCAAATAAAGCTTGCATTCAGTTTATTTTGGTTGTTCATTTAAATCATTGAGTGTTTTATCTGATTCAGTTACTTCATTCCATTATTTCTTGTTTCAGATTGCTAACAAACTAACTAACTAACTAACTAAGTCCTTCAATCTATTGTATCCGAGTATTTATCGTGCTCAATCAGGCACAAGGCTGTCACCACGCATCTGATTCTCTTTTATTTTTAGGCGAGTATCTGCCGGGTTAACTTTTGCCGCAGCCTTGATTCTCTCATCGATGGGTTCCCTGTTTGGTTTGTCGTACGTCAACCACTATCTACCCGGATTGTTGTCCATGTAAGTTCGCGAACGAACAATGGTTGGAATGAAGTTTGTTTAAGCGGATTGGTAAAATTCACGCCGATTGAATTCAGACGAACTGGATCATCTGCTCTTCGTTTGAGCTCGATGGTCGAACGGATGCAGTTAGTTGCCCATTTTTAATACCATATATGGATGAATGAATTATATATATATATATGAATTATATCATCGGTGAATGCAGCAACTTCTTCGTTGATATGAATTAACTCACCAAATAAAACTCGATGAGAAAATGTAAGAAAATAACAAAACTAAAAATACTTTGGAAGGATTAAATAGTAAGCATAATTTAGAAGGCTATTTGCTTCCCAACTTTGCCAATATAGAGAGTTCGGTGGAATATTTCACATTATCACATCTCTCGCTGTTGATGTTAACCATTTAAAAATGTTAAGCTTAAAACGATAATAAAATTTACTAAGGTTAATTTGGTGAAACAATCTCCCAGTGTCCGAGAAGTAGCTATGGAAATATTCTGCATCAATGATTCGTCGGCGATGTATTTGTTTATTTTCTCTCTAAAAGTAGAAGAGGAGCCCCTGAGTTGGTGGCTCCAAATCTCAGCTCTAAAACAGCCTGTTAACGGCAAAATGTTAGACAACTGATTGGATGCTGTTTATGTTTATGTTCTTTTCTTGCTCTTAGGCTCTGAAATGAACTGGTATCGAAACAACCTAATACTAGTGCTGAAGGTATAAGAATAACTTTTGACATGAAGAGAAACGACTAACGAATTGGAAGTTAATTAGGATATTTTGGCTTTCACCCGCATCAACGTTTGTAGATTTTGAAACACGTTGCACAGGATGCAGTCCGACTATATTACTTATCCAATCAAGAGCAAGACGTTGCCAGTAAGAACGACGACTGAGTGAATAAAATCATCACGGGATTCTGCGATCAAATTCTAATCGTAAATAAGTGATCATGATAAAAA